TGTCTGGGTCCACTGTCTAGGTCTACTGTCTGGGTCCACTGTCTGGGTCCATGGGCCACTGTCTGTGTCCATGGTCCACTGTCTGGGTCCACTGTCTGGGTCCACTGTCTGGGTCCACTGTCTCCATGGGCCACTGTCTGGGTCCATGGGCCACTGTCTGGGTCCATGGGCCACTGTCTGGGTCCACTGTTTGGGTCCACTGTCTGGGTCCATGGGCCACTGTTTGGGTCAATGGGCCACTGTCTGGGTCCATGGGCCACTGTCTGGGTCCACTGTCTGGGTCCACTGTCTGGGTCCATGGGCCACTGTTTGGGTCCACTGTCTGGGTCCATGGGCCACTGTTTGGGTCCATGGGCCACTGTCTTGGTCCACTGTCTGGGTCCACTGTCTGGGTCCATTGTCCACTGTTTGGGTCCACTGTCTGGGTCCATGGGCCACTGTTTGGGTCCATGGGCCACTGTCTGGGTCCACTGTCTGGGCCCATGGGCCACAGTCTGGGTCCATGGGCCACTGTCTGGGTCCACTGTCTGGGTCCTCTGTCTGGGTCCATGGGCCACTGTTTGGGTCCATGGGCCACTGTCTGGGTCCATGGGCCACTGTCTGGGTCCACTGTCTGGGTCCACTGTCTGGGTCCATGGGCCACTGTCTGGGTCCACTGTCTGGGTCCACTGTCTGGGTCCACTGTCTGGGTCCACTGTCTGGGTCCATGGGCAACTGTCTGGGTCCACTGTCTGGGTCCACTGTCTGGGTCCACTGTCTGGGTCCACTGTCTGGGTCCACTGTCTCCATGGGCCACTGTCTGGGTCCATGGGCCACTGTCTGGGTCCATGGGCCACTGTCTGGGTCCATGGGCCACTGTCTGGGTCCACTGTCTGGGTCCACTGTCTGGGTCCACTGTCTGGGTCCACTGTCTGGGTCCATGGGCCACTGTCTGGGTCCACTGTCTGGGTCCATGGGCCACTGTCTGGATCCACTGTCTGGGTCCATTGTCTGGGTCCACTGTCTGGGTCCATGGGCCACTGTCTGGGTCCATGGGCCACTGTCTGGATCCACTGTCTGGGTCCATTGTCTGGGTCCACTGTCTGGGTCCATGGGCCACTGTCTGGGTCCATGGGCCACTGTCTGGGTCCCTACACATTGAGCCCTACACCTTGAGCCCTACACCTTGAGCCCTACACCTTGAGCCCTACACATTGAGCCCTACACCTTGAGCCCTACAGAGCCCCTACACCTTGAGCCCTATATCTTGAGCCCTACACCTTGAGCCCTACACCTTGAGCCCTACACCTTGAGCCCTACACCTTGAACCATACACCTTGAGCCCTACACCTTGAGCCCTACACCTTGAGCCCTACACCTTGAGCCCTACACCTTGAGCCCTACACCTTGAGCCCTATATCTTGAGCCCTACACCTTGAACCCTACAGAGCCCTACACCTTGAGCCCTACACATTGAGCCCTACACCTTGAACCATACACCTTGAGCCCTACACCTTGAACCATACACCTTGAGCCCTACACATTGAGCCCTACACCTTGAGCCCTACACATTGAGCCCTACACTTTGAGCCTTACACCTTGAGCCCTACACCTTGAGCCCTAGAGCCCTACACCCTGAGCCCTACACCTTTAGCCCTACACTTTGAGCCTTACACCTTGAGCCCTACATCTTGAGCCCTAGAGCCCTACACCCTGAGCCCTACACCTTTAGCCCTACACCTTGAGCCCTACACCTTGAGCCCTACACCTTGAGCCCTACACCTTGAGCCCTACACCTTGAGCCCCTACACCTTGAGCCCTACACCTTGAGCCCTACAGAGCCCCTACACCTTGAGCCCTACACCTTGAGCCCTACACCTTGAGCCCTACACCTTGAGCCCTACAGAGCCCCTACACCTTGAGCCCTACACCTTGAGCCCTACACCTTGAGCCCTACACCTTGAACCATACACCTTGAGCCCTACACCTTGAGCCCTACACCTTGAGCCCTACACCTTGAGCCCCTACAGAGCCCCTACACCTTGAGCCCCTACATCTTGAGCCCTACACCTTGAGCCCTACACCTTGAGCCCTACACCTTGAGCCCTACACCTTGAGACCTACACCTTGAGCCCTACACCTTGAGCCCTACACCTTGAGCCCTACAGAACCCTACACCTTGAGCCCTACACCTTGAGCCCTACACCTTGAGCCCTACACCTTGAGCCCTACTCCTTGAGCCCTACAGAACCCTACACCCTGAGCCCTACACCTTGAGCCCTACACCTTGAGCCCTACACCTTGAGCCCTACACCTTAAGCCCTACAGAGCCCCTACACCTTGAGCCCTACACCTTGAGCCCTACACCTTAAGCCCTACAGAGCCCCTACACCTTGAGCCCTACACCTTGAGCCCTACACCGTGAGCCCTACACCTTGAGCCCTACACCTTGAGCCCTACACCTTGAGCCCCTACACCTTGAGCCCCTACAGAGCCCTACACCTTGAGCCCTACACCTTGAGCCCTACACCTTGAGCCCCTACAGAACCCTACACCTTGAGCCCTACACCTTGAGCCCTACACCTTAAGCCCTACAGAGCCCCTACACCTTGAGCCCTACACCTTGAGCCCTACACCTTGAGCCCTACACCTTGAGCCCTACACCTTGAGCCCTACACCTTGAGCCCCTACACATTGAGCCCCTACAGAGCCCCTACACCTTGAGCCCTACACCTTGAGCCCTACAGAGCCCTACACCTTGAGCCCTACACCTTGAGCCCTACACCTTGAGCCCCTACAGAACCCTACACCTTGAGCCCTACAGAGCCCTACACCTTGAGCCCTACACCTTGAGCCCTACACCTTGAGCCCTACACCTTGAGCCCTACACCTTGAGCCCTACACCTTGAGCCCTACACCTTGAGCCCTACACCTTGAGCCCTACACCTTGAGCCCCTACAGAGCCCTACACCTTGAGCCCTACACCTTGAGCCCTACACCTTGAGCCCTACACCTTGAGCCCTACACCTTGAGCCCTACACCTTGAGCCCCTACAGAACCCTACACCTTGAGCCCTACAGAGCCCTACACCTTGAGCCCTACACCTTGAGCCCTACACATTGAGCCCTACACCTTGAACCATACACCTTGAGCCCTACAACTTGAACCATACACCTTGAGCCCTACACATTGAGCCCTACACCTTGAGCCCTACACATTGAGCCCTACACTTTGAGCCTTACACCTTGAGCCCTACACCTTGAGCCCTAGAGCCCTACACCCTGAGCCCTACATCTTTAGCCCTACACTTTGAGCCTTACACCTTGAGCCCTACATCTTGAGCCCTAGAGCCCTACACCCTGAGCCCTACACCTTTAGCCCTACACCTTGAGCCCTACACCTTGAGCCCTACACCTTGAGCCCTACACCTTGAGCCCTACACCTTGAGCCCCTACACCTTGAGCCCTACACCTTGAGCCCTACAGAGCCCCTACACCTTGAGCCCTACACCTTGAGCCCTACACCTTGAGCCCTACACCTTGAGCCCTACAGAGCCCCTACACCTTGAGCCCTACACCTTGAGCCCTACACCTTGAGCCCTACACCTTGAACCATACACCTTGAGCCCTACACCTTGAGCCCTACACCTTGAGCCCTACACCTTGAGCCCCTACAGAGCCCCTACACCTTGAGCCCCTACATCTTGAGCCCTACACCTTGAGCCCTACACCTTGAGCCCTACACCTTGAGCCCTACACCTTGAGACCTACACCTTGAGCCCTACACCTTGAGCCCTACACCTTGAGCCCTACAGAACCCTACACCTTGAGCCCTACACCTTGAGCCCTACACCTTGAGCCCTACACCTTGAGCCCTACTCCTTGAGCCCTACAGAACCCTACACCCTGAGCCCTACACCTTGAGCCCTACACCTTGAGCCCTACACCTTGAGCCCTACACCTTAAGCCCTACAGAGCCCCTACACCTTGAGCCCTACACCTTGAGCCCTACACCTTAAGCCCTACAGAGCCCCTACACCTTGAGCCCTACACCTTGAGCCCTACACCGTGAGCCCTACACCTTGAGCCCTACACCTTGAGCCCTACACCTTGAGCCCCTACACCTTGAGCCCCTACAGAGCCCTACACCTTGAGCCCTACACCTTGAGCCCTACACCTTGAGCCCCTACAGAACCCTACACCTTGAGCCCTACACCTTGAGCCCTACACCTTAAGCCCTACAGAGCCCCTACACCTTGAGCCCTACACCTTGAGCCCTACACCTTGAGCCCTACACCTTGAGCCCTACACCTTGAGCCCTACACCTTGAGCCCCTACACATTGAGCCCCTACAGAGCCCCTACACCTTGAGCCCTACACCTTGAGCCCTACAGAGCCCTACACCTTGAGCCCTACACCTTGAGCCCTACACCTTGAGCCCCTACAGAACCCTACACCTTGAGCCCTACAGAGCCCTACACCTTGAGCCCTACACCTTGAGCCCTACACCTTGAGCCCTACACCTTGAGCCCTACACCTTGAGCCCTACACCTTGAGCCCTACACCTTGAGCCCTACACCTTGAGCCCCTACAGAGCCCTACACCTTGAGCCCTACACCTTGAGCCCTACACCTTGAGCCCTACACCTTGAGCCCTACACCTTGAGCCCTACACCTTGAGCCCCTACAGAACCCTACACCTTGAGCCCTACAGAGCCCTACACCTTGAGCCCTACACCTTGAGCCCTACACCTTGAGGCCTACACCTTGAGCCCTACACCTTGAGCCCTACACCTTGAGCCCTACACCTTGAGCCCTACACCTTGAGCCCTACACCTTGAGCCCCTACAGAACCCTACACCTTGAGCCCTACAGAGCCCTACACCTTGAGCCCTACACCTTGAGCCCTACACCTTGAGCCCTACACCTTGAGCCCTACACCTTGAGCCCTACACCTTGAGCCCTACACCTTGAGCCCTACACCTTGAGCCCTACACCTTGAGCCCTACACCTTGCCCTACACCTTGAGCCCTACACCTTGAGCCCCTACACCTTGAGCCCTACACCTTGAGCCCTACACCTTGAGCCCTACACCTTGAGCCCTACACCTTGAGCCCTACACCTTGAGCCCTACACCTTGAGCCCCTACAGAGCCCTACACCTTGAGCCCCTACACCTTGAGCCCTACACCTTGAGCCCTACACCTTGAGCCCCTACAGAACCCTACACCTTGAGCCCTACACCTTGAGCCCCTACAGAGCCCCTACACCTTGAGCCCTACACCTTGAGCCCTACACCTTGAGCCCCACACCTTGAGCCCCTACAGAACCCTACACCTTGAGTCCTACACCTTGAGCCCCTACAGAGCCCCTACACCTTGAGCCCTACATCTTGAGCCCTACACCTTGAGCCCTTCACATTGAGCCCTACAGAACCCCTACACCTTGAGCCCTACACCTTGAGCCCTACACCTTGAGCCCCTACACCTTGAGCCCTACACCTTGAGCCCTACACCTTGAGCCCTACAGAGCCCTACACCTTGAGCCCTACACCTTGAGCCCTACACCTTGAGCCCCTACAGAGCCCCTACACCTTGAGCCCTACACCTTGAGCCCTACAGAGCCCTACACCTTGAGCCCTACACCTTGAGCCCTACACCTTGAGCCCTACACCTTGAGCCCTACACCTTGAGCCCTACACCTTGAGCCCTACACCTTGAGCCCTACACCTTGAGCCCTACACCTTGAGCCCTACACCTTGAGCCCTACACCTTGAGCCCTACACCTTGAGCTCCTATACCTTGAGCCCTACACCTTGAGCTCCTATACCTTGAGCCCTACACCTTGAGCCCTACACCTTGAGCCCTACACCTTGAGCCCTACACCTTGAGCCCTACACCTTGAGCCCTACACCTTGAGCTCCTATACCTTGAGCCCTACACCTTGAGCTCCTATACCTTGAGCCCTACACCTTGAGCAACTATACCTTGGTACTAGATTTTTTTCTTGATAAAATATCCTGGAAAATGTGTTTATCTTAAACTTTTAAAAGATTTGGAAATTTAAACTAGGTCATGATGACGTCGTATTTGAAGAACAGCAGAGATAAAAAAAAATGTAAACTATTTTTTTGCCAAATAAACGCATGAAAGATTTGACCCGCGTTATTAAAAAAAAACAACAACAATCCAATGAAACCATTGGTTAATTCTAGTCACGTGTGAAAACATGTTTCCAATGTTCGTGTCCAACACTTGTATAAAATGGGACTGAACCGATGTCTCCAAACAAGAAATAATTTACCCTGAAGGTCTTAGAGAGCGAGGTAAGTTTGGTACATTCGTTACAGTTAAACGCCAGTTGTGTTGTTTAGCTTAACCATTTGTACCATTATTGTACCTTCGCGACTTGTACCCTGCTGTACTGTTGTACCGTGGTACATTCCTAACCTAATGTTTAGCTCGTTCAACGTAACATAACAGCAATATACATACAAATATTCAATAGCCGGACCAATGAAATAGACTTTCACAGCTATGGACATGCAATTATTCAATAGCTCTAAGAATGAAATAGCTTAACTGGTTAAAAACGATATGGCAAAGAAAAGTTCCACCATATTTATTGACATACATGCGAGATTATGCACTCTATTTCACCTACCTCGATAGTCTACTTTTTAAACTTCAAAAATCCGAGCTCAATTTCAACAAGTTGGAAAATAATTTTTTTATCTATCGTGAATAGAAATATTTTCTTGTGAATATATATATATACTAAGTTTAAAAGATTTTTCCTTTTAGGTTCGACAATGATGAAAATTGTAATTTTAGCTGCACTGATTTGCATTTGTTCTGGCCACTTATGCCTTGTCAGCCCCGCCCAACGAGGAACTGCCAATGGTATCAATGCTGCAGGTATGCTCGTGTTCATGAACAGCCAATGGTATCAATGCTGCAGGTATGCTCGTGTTCATGAACAGCCAATGGTATCAATGCTGCAGGTATGCTCGTGTTCATAGACTGTACAGTACGGCATTTTGGAGATTAATTTCGGGCATTTGTCGCATTCGGGCAAGTGACCCCCCTCCCCTCCCCTCCACATTAAGTATCGCCTAACTAGTGACGCCTCTGATCAGATGTAAACCCTCTTACCACATTCAGTGGTCAGCGTGTATTGTGACCGCCCACCTCCCCCAAAGAATTTTAAGTGCGCCCCCCCCCCCCCCCCCCCCCCTTGAAAGTTTCAAGCGCCGCCACCCCTCAGAGAAAGCGTGAAAGAAGCACTGTTGGTGATTGTGGTGACTGAATAGTTGTGTTGTAACACAGAAATTATGATCGTGAGTAAAATTGTGCTCATGATCGCAGAACATATTCGATAAACTCAGACAATTGGACGAGAGCTATCTTTTAATGAGGCCAGTATTTGTGTTTTAAAAAAATAATGCTAAACTACGTAAATGTGTGTGTGTGTGTATATGTGCGCCAAAGTGTGAAAGTGGCCCAGTGTCAGAGTTCAGTAAACAGATTCACCATGGTTTCGAATGATGATAAAAACACTAAAAGGACAACTGAAAAGAAAAAGAAGTGTAAAAAATGTCCCCCCCCCCAACAATGTCCTCTTGTTGTCCCCCAACAATGTCCTCTTGTTGTCCCCCCCCCAACAATGTCCTCTTGTTGTCCCCCCCCCAACAATGTCCTCTTGTTGTTCCCCCCTCCCAACAATGTCCTCTTGTTGTCCCCCCCCCCCCCAACAATGTCCTCTTGTTGTCCCCCCCCCCAACAATGTCCTCTTGTTGTCCCCCCCCCAACAATGTCCTCTTGTTGTCCCCCCAACAATGTCCTCTTGTTGTCCCCCCAACAATGTCCTCTTGTTGTCCCCCCAACAATGTCCTCTTGTTGTCCCCCCAACAATGTCCTCTTGTTGTCCCCCCCCCCAACAATGTCCTCTTGTTGTCCCCCCCAACAATGTCCTCTTGTTGTCCCCCCCAACAATGTCCTCTTGTTGTTCCCCCAACAATGTCCTCTTGTTGTCCCCCCCCCCCCCCAACAATGTCCTCTTGTTGTCCCCCCCAACAATGTCCTCTTGTTGTTCCCCCAACAATGTCCTCTTGTTGTCCCCCCCCCCCAACAATGTCCTCTTGTTGTCCCCCCCAACAATGTCCTCTTGTTGTCCCCCCAACAATGTCCTCTTGTTGTCCCCCCAACAATGTCCTCTTGTTGTCCCCCCCCCAACAATGTCCTCTTGTTGTCCCCCCCCCCCCAACAATGTCCTCTTGTTGTCCCCCCCCCCAACAATGTCCTCTTGTTGTTCCCCCCCCCCCAACAATGTCCTCTTGTTGTCCCCCCCCAACAATGTCCTCTTGTTGTCCCCCCCCCCCAACAATGTCCTCTTGTTGTCCCCCCCCCCAACAATGTCCTCTTGTTGTCCCCCCAACAATGTCCTCTTGTTGTCCCCCCAACAATGTCCTCTTGTTGTCCCCCCCCCCCAACAATGTCCTCTTGTTGTCCCCCCAACAATGTCCTCTTGTTGTCCCCCCAACAATGTCCTCTTGTTGTTCCCCCCCCCCCCCCAACAATGTCCTCTTGTTGTCCCTCCAACAATGTCCTCTTGTTGTCCCCCCAACAATGTCCTCTTGTTGTCCCCCCCCCCCCCAACAATGTCCTCTTGTTGTCCCCCCAACAATGTCCTCTTGTTGTCCCTCCAACAATGTCCTCTTGTTGTCCCCCCAACAATGTCCTCTTGTTGTCCCCCCAACAATGTCCTCTTGTTGTTCCCCCCCCCCAACAATGTCCTCTTGTTGTCCCTCCAACAATGTCCTCTTGTTGTCCCCCCAACAATGTCCTCTTGTTGTCCCCCCAACAATGTCCTCTTGTTGCCCCCCCCCCCCAACAATGTCCTCTTGTTGTCCCCCAACAATGTCCTCTTGTTGTCCCCCCCAACAATGTCCTCTTGTTGTCCCCCCCCCCCCAACAATGTCCTCTTGTTGTCCCCCCCCCCCAACAATGTCCTCTTGTTGTCCCCCCAACAATGTCCTCTTGTTGTCCCTCCAACAATGTCCTCTTGTTGTCCCCCCAACAATGTCCTCTTGTTGTCCCCCCAACAATGTCCTCTTGTTGTTCCCCCCCCCCCAACAATGTCCTCTTGTTGTCCCTCCAACAATGTCCTCTTGTTGTCCCCCCAACAATGTCCTCTTGTTGTCCCCCCCCCCAACAATGTCCTCTTGTTGTCCCCCCCAACAATGTCCTCTTGTTGTCCCCTCCAACAATGTCCTCTTGTTGTCCCCCCAACAATGTCCTCTTGTTGTCCCCCCAACAATGTCCTCTTGTTGTTCCCCCCCCCCCAACAATGTCCTCTTGTTGTCCCCCCAACAATGTCCTCTTGTTGTCCCCCCAACAATGTCCTCTTGTTGTTCCCCCCCCCCAACAATGTCCTCTTGTTGTCCCCCCAACAATGTCCTCTTGTTGTCCCCCCAACAATGTCCTCTTGTTGTTCCCCCCCCCCCAACAATGTCCTCTTGTTGTCCCCCCAACAATGTCCTCTTGTTGTCCCCCCCAACAATGTCCTCTTGTTGTTCCCCCCCCCCCCCCCCAACAATGTCCTCTTGTTGTCCCTCCAACAATGTCCTCTTGTTGTCCCCCCAACAATGTCCTCTTGTTGTCCCCCCCCCCCAACAATGTCCTCTTGTTGTCCCCCCAACAATGTCCTCTTGTTGTCCCTCCAACAATGTCCTCTTGTTGTCCCCCCAACAATGTCCTCTTGTTGTCCCCCCCAACAATGTCCTCTTGTTGTTCCCCCCCCCCAACAATGTCCTCTTGTTGTCCCCCCCCCCCCCCAACAATGTCCTCTTGTTGTCCCCCCCAACAATGTCCTCTTGTTGTCCCTCCAACAATGTCCTCTTGTTGTCCCCCCCAACAATGTCCTCTTGTTGTCCCCCCAACAATGTCCTCTTGTTGTCCCCCCCCCCCCAACAATGTCCTCTTGTTGTCCCCCCAACAATGTCCTCTTGTTGTCCCCCCAACAATGTCCTCTTGTTGTCCCCCCCCCCCCCCCCAACAATGTCCTCTTGTTGTCCCCCCCCCCCCAACAATGTCCTCTTGTTGTCCCCCCCAACAATGTCCTCTTGTTGTCCCCCCAACAATGTCCTCTTGTTGTCCCCCCCAACAATGTCCTCTTGTTGTCCCCCCCCCAACAATGTCCTCTTGTTGTCCCCCCCAACAATGTCCTCTTGTTGTCCCCCCAACAATGTCCTCTTGTTGTCCCCCCAACAATGTCCTCTTGTTGTCCCCCCAACAATGTCCTCTTGTTGTCCCCCCCAACAATGTCCTCTTGTTGTCCCCCCCCCAACAATGTCCTCTTGTTGTCCCCCCAACAATGTCCTCTTGTTGTCCCCCCAACAATGTCCTCTTGTTGTCCCCCCCAACAATGTCCTCTTGTTGTCCCCCCAACAATGTCCTCTTGTTGTCCCCCCCAACAATGTCCTCTTGTTGTCCCCCCCCCCCCCAACAATGTCCTCTTGTTGTCCCCCCCCCAACAATGTCCTCTTGTTGTCCCCCCCAACAATGTCCTCTTGTTGTCCCCCCCAACAATGTCCTCTTGTTGTTCCCCCCCCCAACAATGTCCTCTTGTTGTCCCCCCCAACAATGTCCTCTTGTTGTCCCCCCCAACAATGTCCTCTTGTTGTCCCCCCCAACAATGTCCTCTTGTTGTCCCCCCAACAATGTCCTCTTGTTGTCCCCCCAACAATGTCCTCTTGTTGTCCCCCCAACAATGTCCTCTTGTTGTCCCCCAACAATGTCCTCTTGTTGTCCCCCCCAACAAATGGTCCTCTTGTTGTCCCCCCAACAATGTCCTCTTGTTGTCGCCCTCCCAACAATGTCCTCTTGTTGTCCCCCCCCAACATGTCCTCTTGTTGTCCCCCCCCCAACAATGTCCTCTTGTTGTCCCCCCCCCAACAATGTCCTCTTGTTGTCCCCCCAACAATGTCCTCTTGTTGTCCCCCCCCCAACAATGTCCTCTTGTTGTCCCCCCCCCCCAACAATGTCCTCTTGTTGTCCCCCCCAACAATGTCCTCTTGTTGTCCCCCCCAACAATGTCCTCTGTGTCATGTCCCCCCCCCCAACAATGTCCTCTTGTTGTCCCCCCCCCCAACAATGTCCTCTTGTTGTCCCCCCCAACAATGTCCTCTTGTTGTCCCCCCCAACAATGTCCTCTTGTTGTCCCCCCCAACAATGTCCTCTTGTTGTCCCCCCCAACAATGTCCTCTTGTTGTCCCCCCCAACAATGTCCTCTTGTTGTCCCCCCCCCCAACAATGTCCTCTTGTTGTCCCCCCCAACAATGTCCTCTTTTCTTGTTGTCCCCCCCAACAATGTCCTCTTGTTGTCCCCCCAACAATGTCCTCTTGTTGTCCCCCCCCAACAATGTCCTCTTGTTGTCCCCCCAACAATGTCCTCTTGTTGTCCCCCCAACAATGTCCTCTTGTTGTCCCCCCCCCCCCAACAATGTCCTCTTGTTGTCCCCCCCCCAACAATGTCCTCTTGTTGTCCCCCCAACAATGTCCTCTTGTTGTCCCCCCAACAATGTCCTCTTGTTGTCCCCCCAACAATGTCCTCTTGTTGTCCCCCCAACAATGTCCTCTTGTTGTCCCTCCAACAATGTCCTCTTGTTGTCCCCCCAACAATGTCCTCTTGTTGTCCCCCCCAACAATGTCCTCTTGTTGTCCCCCCAACAATGTCCTCTTGTTGTCCCCCCAACAATGTCCTCTTGTTGTCCCCCCCCCCAACAATGTCCTCTTGTTGTCCCCCCAACAATGTCCTCTTGTTGTCCCCCCAACAATGTCCTCTTGTTGTCCCCCCCAACAATGTCCTCTTGTTGTCCCCCCAACAATGTCCTCTTGTTGTCCCCCCCCCAACAATGTCCTCTTGTTGTCCCCCCAACAATGTCCTCTTGTTGTCCCCCCAACAATGTCCTCTTGTTGTCCCCCCCCCCCCACAACAATGTCCTCTTGTTGTCCCCCCAACAATGTCCTCTTGTTGTCCCCCCAACAATGTCCTCTTGTTGTCCCCCCCAACAATGTCCTCTTGTTGTCCCCCCAACAATGTCCTCTTGTTGTCCCCCCAACAATGTCCTCTTGTTGTCCCCCCCAACAATGTCCTCTTGTTGTCCCCCCAACAATGTCCTCTTGTTGTTCCCCCCCCCAACAATGTCCTCTTGTTGTCCCCCCCCCCAACAATGTCCTCTTGTTGTCCCCCCCCCCCCAACAATGTCCTCTTGTTGTCCCCCCAACAATGTCCTCTTGTTGTCCCCCCCCACAATGTCCTCTTGTTGTCCCCCCCCCCCCCCAACAATGTTCTCTTGTTGTCCTACAGGTGCACAGGACTGCTACCTGATTACGCCACCGTGTGGGGGCCGAGCTCAAAACTTGACGTCAACCACTGGACTGCTGTAAGCCTGCTATCATTGGTGGACAATCATTCCCAATCAAATCACGCTCGTACACAATCATTCTCAATCATCTCACACTTGCACACAATAATTCCCAATCATTCCCAATCATCTCACACTCGCACACAATCATTCTCAATCATCTCACGCTCGTACACAATCATTCTCAATCATCTCACACTCGAACACAATCATTCTAAATCATCTCACACTCGTAATTGCCAATGTCCCAATGTTGTAATGTCCCAATGTTGTAAGTAATGTCCCAATGTTGTAAGTAATGTCCCAATGTTGTATGTAATGTCCCAATGTTGTATGTAATGTCCCAATGTTGTATGTAATGTCCCAATGTTGTAAGTAATGTCCCAATGTTGTAAGTAATGTCCCAATGTTGTAAGTAATGTCCCAATGTTGTATGTAATGTCCCAATGTTGTATGTAATGTCCAATGCTTTTGTTTTACAAACTAAAATAATTATGACGTAGAGGGAGTCAAACCATAAATGTCATGTCACACAGTTGAAGTCATGTCTATCAGTTAAGTCACATGACACAGTTAAGTCACATGACAGTTAAATCACATGACACCGTTTGTTTCATCCACCCACAGAGCCGGTAAAAATTTTGTCGTCACCTTCCAAAAGAACATTGACCACTTCAACAGCGCCGCACCTGTAAGTCTGTGTCGTCTGCTTCATGTTAGTCTGTCGTCTGCTTCATGTTAGTCTGTCGTCTGCTTCATGTTAGTCTGTCGTCTGCTTCATGTTAGTCTGTCGTCTGCTTCATGTTAGTCTGTCGACTGCTCCATGTTAGTCTGTCGTCTGCTTCATGTTAGTCTGTCGACTGCTCCATGTTAGTCTGTCGTCTGCTTCATGTCAGTCTGTAATCTGCTTAATGTTAGTCTGTCGTCTGCTTCATGAATTTACCTCACGGATAGTTCCATTGAAAATTTCAATTATTTTAGATTTTATTTATCTTATGTGTAAAGAAAGGGGCATAACTCTGGTAATTGCTTATATTTACATGTGTGAAACAAGGGGTGTAATTACGAGAATTGTTTTTATTTAGAGGCATAAAACCAGAACGTAATTCTAACAATTCTTTACATTTAAACGTGTGAATCAAGGGACGTAATTCTAATAATTCTTTACATTTAAATGTGTGAATCAAGGGACGTAATTCAAACAATTGTTTACATTTAAACGTGTGAATCAAGGGACGTAATTCTAACAATTCTTTACATTTAAACGTGTGAATCAAGGGACGTAATTCTAATAATTCTTTACATTTAAATGTGTGAATCAAGGGACGTAATTCAAAGAATTGTTTACATTTAAACGTGTGAATCAAGGGACGTAATTCTAACAATTCTTTACATTTAAACGTGTGAATCAAGGGACGTAATTCTAATAATTCTTTACATTTAAATGTGTGAATCAAGGGACGTAATTCAAACAATTGTTTACATTTAAACGTGTGAATCAAGGGACGTAATTTAAACAATTGTTTACATTTGTGTGAAGCAAGGGACGTAATTCAAACAATTGTTTACATTTAAACGTGTGAAGCAAGGGACGTAATTTAAAAAATTGTTTACACCTCCACCGTGTAGGGTTACTTCAGCGTGTCACTGGGTGCTGACGAGACGTCCTTGAAAGAGTTGACCCGTGTCCCTGACACGAGTGACCCGTCCTTGACCCTCTACTCTGCAACCATCGCTGTACCCCGCACGTAAGTGTTTAACCCTCTAGGTTCCCCTGGGTTCAGTTGTTTAACCCTCTGTGTGCCGCCAATGACTCGCCAGATCCACCTTTAGGTTCACCTGATGTCACAGTTGTTGCTTGAAGGCTAGGGTTGTGTTGTGAACTCATTAGGATTCTCCACTCATTAATTAGCATAATCCTGTAGCCATATCAATATCTGTACCGTGTTGTTAAGACTGATGTAACTGGACTTGAAATGCAATATATAGAACACAGCTTTACGCTCTGATTGGAAAAAAATATTGACCAGACTTCCAGGTACCAAGGAAAACTTCTGTGGTAATGTTTACTATTTTATCAGGGAGGAACATCCCCTATTGTTATTGTTTTTTTTCGACAGTTTCCAAATTTAAATTCTGTATTAAACATTTTTTTTTCATTTTTATTGCTGTATTAAAAAGTTTTCCTTCTTATGTCTGTCTTTACGAAATGTAAACAATCCCTTTACGAAATGTAAACAATTCCTGTACGAAATGTAAACAATCCCTTTACGAAATGTAAACAATTCCTTTACGAAATGTAAACAATCCCTGTACGAAATGTAAACAATCCCTTTACGAAATGTAAACAATCCCTTTACGAGATGTAAACAATCTCTTTACAAAGTGTAAACAATCTCTTTACAAAATTTAAACAATTCCTTTCAGACCCGGCAACCAGGTGCTACAAGTCAGCTACGTCACAAACAAAACGCCGCCATTGTTCAACCAGTGTAGTGACGTAATTATTGTAGAAAACGACGTCCTTCCTGTTGGTTAAGATGATGGTTTAATTTATTTGACCTTTGAACTGAAATAAAAACAAAACGTGTTCTTTATATCGCACTTGGCTGTTTGGTTTCATCAGGAGAAACGGTTCAACTCAGTACTGTCGTTTTGTTCTATCGTTTTGTTCTATCGTTTTGTTCTATCGTTTTGTTCTATCGTTTTGTTCTATCGTTTTGTTCTGTCGTTTTGTTCTATCGTTTTGTTCTATCGTTTTGTTCTATCGTTTTGTTCTATTGTTTTGTTCTATCGTTTTGTTCTATCGTTTTGTTCTATCGTTTTGTTCTATCGTTTTGTTCTATCGTTTTGTTCTATCGTTTTGTTCTATCGTTTTGTTCTATCGTTTTGTTCTATCGTTTTGTTCTATCGTTTTGTTCTGTCGTTTTGTTCTATCGTTTTGTTCTATCGTTTTGTTCTATCGTTTTGTTCTGTCGTTTTGTTCTATCGTTTTGTTCTATCGTTTTGTTCTATCGTTTTGTTCTGTCGTTTTGTTCTATCGATTTGTTCTATCCATTTGTTCCACATGTGTTGGAGGGGATCCCTTCCAACACTAAAATTAAGAACGAAGAAAAAGAAGATACTTTTTTAAAAATACACATTATGTCTATAGAGTTTGTCTAATGTTCTACTCGAAGTACATAAACACAGAATAGAAACATGTTTTCTTGTTCACATAAAAAATCGTGCAGGGTTAAAGTAAAGGTAAATATGCATTTTAACCAATCAACTGCGATCACGGCCAGATGTCAAATGGGCTAAATATATAAGGGTTATTGAAAGTGAAGTTTATACAGCCGCATAAACAACAACAATATATGATCAGGTGGGAGGGGAATGGATGGTCTTGTAGGAAGGGAATGGATGGTCTTGTGAGAGGGGAATGGATGGTCTTGTGCAGGGGCGGAACTACAGTGCCGCCAGACCCCGCAATGCGGGGGGGGGGGGGGCACGCCGTTTAGGGGCCCACAGCCGACCATAATAAATTTTTTATAGTTAAAAAAAAATGATTTTCTTGCATTTTTAACTTGATGGTTGTTTTGTAAAAAGATTACCATAGCTGCGGTTGGATTATCTTTATTCTATAGACACCACCCCACGCTCTAGTATATTCTTTTTTTTTCTCCTACAATGAAACTTATCAAAGATAAGTAAACGTTTAAACCACTTCCAGGACTTATTTCCCTTTTTTTAAATAGTCAAAAAGGGGTGCTCATAAGCTTCTTTTAATAGATTTGCACTAAACAAATTAAAAAGTAATTACTTCTCTTTATTATTTTTTTTAATAAAGTACGTACTAAAGAATGACATTGTATAAAAAGGAAATGAATTTAAAATTAATAATATAAATACAAAAAAAACATAATCATAAACATAGCACGAGACACCATTACTTATACAAAGCTTTCATGTTTTATATTCTTTTGACCGACAAGGGGTTTAGAGGTGTTATAGCAGAAATAAAATAAACTGGAGTTTTAAAACAGACTAATGTAAAAAAAAAAATAAAAAAAAAAAAAAAAAATATATATATATATTTAGATACATAAAATATTGGATTAATTTTTGTTAATTGAAAAAAAAATATTTTTTTCAAAACTTGAACAGGACAGCAATTAGAATCCTATGTTCGTATTTTGTGTTTATATATATATATATATATATATATATATATATATATATATATATATATATATATATATATATATATATATATATATATATATATATATATATATATATATATAATCCGGGGGGCCTAAAAAATTTTTTTGCGGGGTGGCCCTATTTATCTAGTTCCGCCACTGGTCTTGTGAGAGGGGAATGGATGGTCTTGTGAGAGGGGAATGGATGGTCCTGTAGGAAGGGAATCGATGGTCTTGTAGGAAAGGAATGGATGGTCTTGTGAAAGGGGAATGGATGGTCTTGTGAGAGGGGAATGGATGGTCTTGTAGGAAGGGAATGGATGGTCTTGTAGGAAGGGAATGGATGGTCTTGTAGGAGGGGAATGGATGGTCTTGTGAGAGGGGAATGGATGGTCTTGTGAGAGGGGAATGGATGGTCTTGTGAGAGGGGAATGGATGGTCTTGTAGGAAGGGAATCGATGGTCTTGAAGGAAGGGAATAGATGGTCTTGTGAGAGGGGAATGGATGGTCTTGTGAGAGGGGAATGGGTGGTCTTGTAGGAAGGGAATCGATGGTCTTGTAGGAAGGGAATGGATGGTCTTGTAGGAAGGGAATGGATGGTCTTGTAGGAAGGGAATGGATGGTCTTGTGAGAGGGGAATGGATTGTCTTGTGAGAGGGGAATGGATGGTCTTGTGAGAGGGGAATGGATGGTCTTGTAGGAAGGGAATCGATGGTCTTGTAGGAAGGGAATGGATGGTCTTGTGAGAGGGGAATGGATGGTCTTGTGAGAGGGAAATGGATGGTCTTGTAGGAAGGGAATGGATGGTCTTCTAGGAAGGGAATGGATGGTCTTGTGAGAGGGGAATGGATGGTCTTGTGAGAGGGGAATGGATGGTCTTGTAGGAAGGGAATCGATGGTTGTGACCTACTTAGGTCGAGTCAGGTTCTATTTTTATTTTGACATTGTATAATACCTTATATGGAGTGATTGTGCAACATAGAAATTTTCCATTAAGATCTGATTGAATGATTCTGGTCAGATGACTATCCCAACCAATGGCTACATGAGTTGAGGATAATCTCCCCTGTGGCAGAAGTCTTTAATTGCACCGCACACTCGCCACACGTGGCAGTTTTACCTTGACCAGGCAGCCGTCCATATTGTCCGGCTATAGACTCTGACCATTTGAACGTGAGAGAACTTAAGTCCTGTGTGTGCTACGCTTTCTTAAGTTGATATAGTCTTCTAGTATAATATTACTTGTCGCCAAGTAATTCTTGAAACTATAGCAGTGTTGTGTGGCCTGTGGCTATTTTTTTTAGGCAGTGTAGAAATCTGTGATAGTGTTTTTTCCTACACTCTGTAAGTTGGGTTTTGATATTTTATACATTAAATATTTTATCTAGTTTAACCTTGTGTTCTGCCACAACTGTGTTCGCTTATTAAAGGTTGTATGTAGATTGGATGAGTGTTAATTACAATAGTATCACTAGTTTTCCCTAGACATCGAATTCGAGCCCTAGTGTGTCGTTGTGTTAGTGTTCATCCATTTAGGCCGTAAGGCATTTGCATATGACCCCGAAAAAAGAATCCGGGGACGTTCACCTTCTATCTGGCTGATAGATAGGGGACGTTACAAAGTGGGGGCTCGCCGAGATTTAATCTGTCGTTCCAGTTGTTGGTTATATCAGTAAGCACTAAGGTTAGTTTGATTTAGTTGTTTTTCTATCCAGTGCGCCGTGTTCTTACAGCGCGCGCAAGCCTAGTGGTATCTAGGTCAACAGCCAGACGTGTCACGATAAGAGGTCAAGTACACGACCCAACGCACCGTGTTAAGTTAGTGAATCTAGGCTTGTTGTGATTTGAAAGTTAGTGTTATGGAGTCTTTTTTGGCTAATCCCACTTTTGAGGAGGTCGAGAAGTTGAGTAGAAAAGTTTTGATTAGTCTTGTTAAGGAATTGAAATTGGATTATTCTGTTACGCAGAAGTCAGAGGTGTTGAGAGATAAAATTGTTGTTCATTTTATTAATGAAGGGGTATTTGATGAAAGTTTGTTGGCTGGTGTATTACTCCGGGAGGAGAAAGTTGCTTTAGAGAAGGCATTAAAAGAACAGGAGTTAGAGGTTAAAATTGCTTTAGATAGGAAGAGGTTGGAATCAGAATTTGGTCAAGTTAGTGATGTTACTTCTCTGGTAGATCCAAAAAAGTTGTCGGTGGGGCAAGTGATTGCCAAATTCGGGAAATTAGTTCCTAAATTTGATGAAACAGATTTGGTCGTTTTCTTTAACTCATTTGAGAGTTTAGCGAAGACATGTGAATGGCCCGAAACTTCCATTACTGCTTTATTGAGCTCGGTCCTTACTGGGAAAGCTGCAAAAACATACCAGGCACTCTCTCACGACGTTCAAAATAACTATAGTTTGGTCAAGACTGCCATTTTGAAGGCCTACGAGCTGACGCCTGAGGCCTATCGGACAAAATTCCGAACACTCCGCAAGTTACCCACTCAATCATATGTGGAATTTCTCTTTGAAAAGGAGAAAATATTTTCAAGGTGGCTACACTCGGAGGAAGTTTCTGAGTTTGAGAAACTCAGGTCACTTATCCTAAGGGAAGAATTCCTATCGTCCCTGCCTGAAGAGATACGACTACACATACTGGATAACAAGATAACTGACATCCAGAAGGCTGCTGAGTCGGCTGACACATATATGTTGGTGCATAAGAAACCACCAGTGTCAGGAAACCGCCTCAACCCCGTGCTTCCCCTTTTTGGCAGCAATCTTCCTGTTGGCCAACACTTGAAGGCATCACAGTCCAGAGAGAACCCAAGATCAACTCTCAATCGTCGAGCGGTATGCCAGTTCTGCAAAAGACCTGGTCATCTTGTCAAGGACTGTTACAAACGTCGTCAATATAACAGAGAGGTGGTGCGTACTTCTGCGCACTATGCTCTATCCCCTCAAGCAGCCAGTGCAACTATGAACTCTAGAATTCTAAAGGACTCTAACCCTAAGTGTCCGCAAGAAGGTAGTCAAATCCCCACACATTATGTGCAGTCACATTTTGACTGTTCTCGCCACCATCCAGTTTCTTCCGAGTCTACCGATCTCGAGGGATCGAGAAAAGTTGACTTTTCATCTTTTATTGCCGAAGCCATCATTAGCAAACCAGGTGATCCGTTGTCTCAGCGGAATATCACCGTCCTAAGAGACACAGGAGCGTCACAATCACTTCTTTTGAAAAGTTCAATGGACATTACACCTGAGACGAACACCGGAAGGATTTCCATTATCCAGGGAGTAGGGACAAAATCTACTGTCGTCCCTTTACACAAGCTTGCCCTGAAACATCATCTCGTCGAAGGTGAGGTCATTTTAGGTGTGATAGATAGTATTCCTGTCCCAGGAGTACACCTACTTCTAGGG